ATTCCTGCTTGTACTGTGCATGCAAAATTGGCTATCATTCAATTTACTGTTATTCAATGTTTTTTAATTTTTCTACACATAAAGCTTGGGGTTTTAAACTTAAGTTGTGATTACTAACATTTTGATAGTATCCACATTATGCTACACAGTTTTAAGGACCATAAACAGTGTGCCACATCTTGCAAAATCTTAACCATCCTCAAATCTCATTCCATTCAAATAGAAGCCAACATTGCTCATCTTTACTGCAGGCCAAAAGCCAAGTTTCTTCACTCTGTAACATTTTAATCCAAATTCTTGCCTCTTTCAGAATTAACTACTATTTACTGCTTCTTTGAATATAAAATAATATTATAACCACAGCAAGCCAAAGCTCATTTCTGTTACAAATCTACCTAAACAAATACGAACCACCCAATTATTTCCTCTGCCACGAGGAGAAGGTTTAATTAGTTCTAGTCTTTACTACATTGTTCTTTTAATACTGAGATGTGCAATAAAGTATTAGTTCTACAATGATATGTAAGCAGACTATTTTACTTACAGCAACAATTTTGTCATGAACATGAATTTGGCCATTGTGGTCAGCAGCACTCCCAGGTATTATATTTTTCACGAAAATCCCTGAAGGTTCTGTTGGCAGGGGAGGGGAGGAAGAGAAGCAAGTCACTACATTAACCTATTTTGTTTCTTTTCTTATTAAGATTTTTAATTACAGCCTTTTTCACACACTTCTTCTGCCCACAGAGCAATGATTCTGTAGCCCACCAACATTGCACATTACCACTCACACAGCTTGACACAGAACAACTGAAGATCTCTGATGGAAAAAACCAGCACCAACACAACCATCTCTACACTGACCTCAAAATTTTTTCCTTAAAATGGCTCACAAAAGGCCATCTCCTCCATGGATTCATCCTTGTGCTTACCCAGGCTTTAAACCACAATCACTTAAATCCATGCTGCATTTGATTTCAATAGGACTACCTAAGCTAAAAGTAAAGTATGTGCTTAAGTACTTTGATCAGGACTTCAATCATCTCACAGCTAAAGATTTTAGTACTTTAAATCTTAATGAAAAGGGATTTAAAAAAAGAAGGAAAAAAAAAAGAAAAGAAACATGGAAATCAGAAAAGCTGTCCTTTGTCATGTTTGACGTTTGATTATTAACTCCAACTCTAATTGGAACAAGGAAATAAGCCAAAAACAAAACAGTAAAAATGCAGTCATCATTTGGAACAGTAACCCTTCCCTTCCACAAACTCCACAAAATATGAGATGCTGATCTCTAATTCTAGTGAATATTGACACTTCACCCTTTTCTGAACACTACCCTTCCTCAGACACCTGCCCAATATGGTTTGTGCATGCTCAGCAAAGCCCTTCTACCAGTGCTTCAAACCCACCTTTTCCCCTTGCCTGACCACTGCCCTGGTCTGGGATTCCTGACCCACAACACAAGAGGATCTCCTGGGAATGCAGGGGGCCAGAGAGCAACCCCAGCTGCACCACATTCCCAGAACACTCTCTTGAGTCCCACGAGGAAGGAGAGGGGATATAAACACTAACCCTTTGTGTAAAACCAGATATCCAGTTGAGTCAGTTTGAAAGATATTCTCATTTGTGGAATCAATATGTGAAAGACAAGTTAATAGTTCTAACTGAAAGAGTATTTAAGGAAAAACCCCCCACCTGATTCCATGTCCCCATATCCTAGCACAGGTATTTTAATCTGTTCCCAGAGTTTAGACACTGAAACAGCCATCTGCCAAAAACAACTACATCCTCTGGTGAAGGTGGCATACACATCACACACAGCTCAGATTCACAGAATCACTTTGGTTGGAAAAGACCTTTAAGACCATTGAGTCCAACCATTAACCCTACTCTGCCCAAGCCCACCTCTAAGCCATGCCCCCAGGCAGCACATCTCCATGGCCTTTAAACACATCCAGGGATGGTAACTCAACCAGCTCCTTGGGCAGCATGTTGCAATGCCTGACAACCTGTTCAGTGAAAAAGTTCCTCCAAATGTCCAGTCTACACCTCTGCTGGTGCAGCTTGAGGCCATTCCCTCTTGTTCTACCACCAGTTAGTAGTTCAGACTCTGCACCTCCTGCCTGCAGAGGGATGGGCTACTTAACTGGACTGATCATTTCCACTCTAACACCTACAGACCATTAAACAAACCGAAGCTGCTCGTTGAGCTGTTTTGTACATACTGAAGATGCCATTCCAAAGTTAATGCAAACTGGGGACATCTGATACTCTGGTTTTGAATTTTTTCTTAACACATGCTCTCTGAATTGTGCTATACACTGCAGGGGCAAAATAAGGACCAGTGTGGACGGGAACCTGACTGTTTTAAGAGCCTGGACATGCAGGAACTGTCTGTTACAATTTCCTGCCTTGCCCTGTAACAAAGTAAGCATGTAAAATTCACAGTCCAGCAGTCAAGTGGTAATTATATTTTTAAGTTAATTACAACTCTTTAAAATTTTTTGGAGGCTGAATTTCACTTTGCAACAAGTTCTCCAAATATCTGCTTCATAGATTTTTTAAGTTACACTGTTTCAAAGAACCTCTATCCACTTTCCTTACAGTAGATCAAGGGTATTTGAGAAGCCCCCGTCCTAGACTTTGTTAAAACTCACCTATGTCACTTGTGCCAGCATATCCAACAATTGTTATCCCCAGGCTTTGCCCATTCTTTTTTATAAGTTCAACATCATAGGTCTCAAAAAGGTTGGTATTGTCCTATAAATAAAGCACAAGACAATAATAAAAATAAATCTTATAATTTCCCAGTGCCTTTACAATCTTGCAGATTAGTTAAGATCTTCAGAAGTGAGCAGTTATTTTGGTTTTCCTTTTTTAGGACAGATTATATTTGTAAAAGAGATATACCCAGGATTTGCCAAAAAGAAGGTGTCACCCAAAGTCATTAGTTGCTTTTTGAATTCTTTCCTAATATCTTCTCCACATACCTGTTAGAGTTATAGTATTTATATTTGATGGAGAACAAAGGTTTTTGCTAGACTGCTCAGGGGGCATTCCCTTTGGATTCCACTGCCACTTCAGAACAATGAACTTCCTAGTCAATCCCACAAGACAACAGTAACCCTGAAAGTCCTCAGAATCTCTTCCCTCCCTAAGTTCATCCTCCTAAACAGTATTATGAATCCACTTGCCTGAGCTCTTTCTATTGGACGTGTAAGAAGCAAATAAACCTGGTAGAAACACACAATGTTATCACATCACACATTTCTTGTCAGAAAAAGTGACACTTGTCTCTCCTTCGTATCACCTCCTAAGTAAGGGGCAGCAGGAAAGGGATCTCAAAACAGAAACATGTTCAATGCCATGAAATGAAAGAATCCATGTGTATGCACAGTAGGCACATCCCTACTGCAGAAGCAGTTATCTACTTAAATGAAAACATTGGAGACTAGGCAGGCGTTTGAGCTTATTCTTTGATTTTATGCTAGATGCCAAACCACAAACCTGTTCCAAAAGTCTATCTTGTACATATCAGCTTAAGAAGTTTGATAAGATCCTGTTCAGATTTGAACACCAATCAATTTCAAAGAGCACTGAAAGATTCCAAGTTGTCTAAGGCAATGGGAAGCAAAAGACTCCTTATTTTGCATTCAATGAAAATTAGTTTTAAGACCTAACATAAGAAGGGAGAGTATTCATTTGTAAATGCTGTATTGTTGAACTGATAACTTCTCATAACAATACTTGAAAAGAGAAGCACATAAGGTGACCTGTTCTCTGAACCCTCTGCTTGCTACAACTACCAAAATGCCACAGAAGGCACTAGCTAAAATTACAATATGATCTGACCTTGCACTGGGGAAGTACATGGAAAAAGGTCCCCATAAAGCTGGTCTCAGTATGTCTGTGCAACTCTACCCTGACAAGTGAAAATCAAAAGTACAAGACAGAGTTCAAACAGGACACACTAAAGACATAGGTGATACCAAAGAGAAAAACAACCAAGCACATAGATCTGGGATTGCAAGGGACACGTTGAAATACATAAAGTTGTTTGTTTTCAGTAATAGATACAGCCCAATGAGATCCAAAAGAAGATGATGATCAGAGTAAGGTCTGTTAAAGCAATGAAATCAAGAGGGATAGTGTCACTGCCAACAGGAAAAATGGGCCTGGAAATTGCAAAACATTTCTTAAGAGAGTGAACAAAAGACAAGTTTAATCAAACGCTTGCCAAATATCAGCTTTGGAAGGACCTGTATTAAAAGCAGGCCAAAGTTATGGGTGTACCTATTACACTTTTCACTGAAAGAGAAATCCATGGCCAGCTATCTCCTTTCTTACCACACACACCTTCCTCCATTAGCCAAGTCATGAAGCTCATTAAATGCTTTCCAGCTCTCTTGCTCTGTATGACTCTGGTGGAGATGAAGATAAGTTCTGATGCTCTGTCACTTATCTTTAGGAGAGGGAACCAAAACAGTAAACAAGCCTATAGCAACATCTGAAGTGGACCTATGGCCTTGAGAGTCCTGTTGTTTTGACAATCAAAACCCCTTCACAGTCAGTGCTCTGGTGCTACAGCAATCTCCCCTAAGTAGTGTTGCTGGTAGAATGCAAAACATTAGAAGTGGAGTCTGGAAAAATCAAAGTAGAGAGGGCTAAATACAGTCAGCACAGTAGGCTGCTAACATTGCTGTCAGTATCTTGGAGAGTACAGATAATATGGCTGTTTTCTTGTGCCCATGCACAGATACAAGTAGTTTCAGTTGTCTACTACAGGAAATTTAAAGGAAATGAAATATTAATATAAAGCTGAAAAAAAATCCCAACCCTAACCATATATTAAATGTGCCTTTCTGCTGGTTTGCAAAAAAAGAAAAGAAAAATATTTTCTATTGCAAATCTCACAGCTAGTGAAATTGCTCAGAAACCAGAAAGCAATTAGATTGTAGGAACAAGTTCTGGTGTAAATCAGACACAAACTGAAAGATGGACCATTAAAATCATCATTAAATAAATATATGCATTCAGATTAGCCACTATTCTTGATTTCAGCAAATCTCTCAACACCAGAAAGAGGAGTTTCTTCAAGCCTAAATACGAAGACACTATTTAGTTCAGAAAACAAAAGATGACATTGAGAAAGAAGTAGATTAAACAGCAAAGTGATTTTTTTCCCTCTGTAAACTACAAAGCAGGAATAAGGAGGACACTGAAAAGATTCCAGAAAGGCTGAAGCACCTACAATGCTTGGGGTCTATTAGTGACAAATAGGCCCATCTTTGAGGTGGGGAAAAGAGAAAAATAGTACTTTTTAGAAGAAGCAAAACCAGAATCATGAGTTTTTTTTCCTAATACGGGCCTCAGAAAATATGATAAAGCCAGAAAAGTGCTTCATAATGATGCTGACTCTCTAGGAAAGTCTTTTTCAGAGTATTAGGGAAGCACATTTTTAAGATTCCAACCTTAAGTACATAGGTTACCCCCTCCCATCTCTCTGCCACACACATTTCTTACTACACCAATCCTTCTTCTGAGAAGAGGAGCTTGAGAAGGACCCAAAACACCACCAGCCACAGTTGCCCTCCAGAGAAATGCAAGACACCAAGTTAATGGCTGCCTTTGCAGTGGCTATGCCCAGTAAGCAAGAAGGTGAGTTTGCAACAACATGACCACTGGTGTGACCTTTAAAAAATGGTGCTTCAAAAAAAGAAAAAAAAATAGCTGTCTTCACTCATATTCAACAAACTAGGCAAGAAAGAAAAGGCTACTCAGATTCTACACCTAATCCAAGCAGCGCAGTAGTAGCAGATGGTACACAAGCACAGCTTTGTTTATGTTTCGAGACCTACTGTACACTTAGTGTAGCATTTGTTGATTTTAATTACTCAAAACTGAAGAGAATGACTTCAAAAACAAGAGACTTTGATATGACCATGATAAGATTTGCTAAAACAAGTTTCAAAATTTTTAGATATATTTCCTATCACAGACAGTAGCGTAGACTATGAAAACATTACACTTATGTTTCATAAAGAGATGATTGTGCTGAATAATTCTGGTGTGGCCATGGAGCTCTGGATTTCAGACTAGGGAAATTCACAGTTAGGTTTTAAATCCACTTACAAATGATTGATTAGCAAAAATGTAATGAGCTAAGAAGGGGAACTAAAAGTACCATTTATCGATAACGTTTATGGTCGTGGTAATTAAATTACCCACTCTGAAATAAATTCTGTAAAGCTGGTCAGTCCAATCCCAAGACTGCAGGTATTAATAACCTACAGGAAAAAGGGGAAAATTGCAGAAGGCAGGGCTATAATAATGACCACTTAAATACACACATATGATATCTGGAAACTCGGAAGAGGAGAAGCACTTTAGGTCTCAGAACACCCTGTTCTCCTCCTTTCTGGTCACAAGCCACAAACATACTTAAAAATATCTGAAGCAAACACCAGATACTTACATTTCCATTTTGAAAGGAGGGTAATGTACTGACTGGCCAGCTCACAGGGGCTGGTGGAGTCTCCATAATTTCACACTTCGGGTCCCTCGCAACCACCATCCTCACAGAATTCCCACAGTTTCTCAGAACTTGTGCAACTTGTTCACTGGTCATCCCTTGCACGTTGGTTCCTCCAATCTCTAAGATGTGATCTCCTGTGCGCAGCCTCCCATCCTTCAAACAGAAAGAGAGTCACAAAAAATGTTTTCAGTCTATCCATAAAATACCTTTTCCATTGCAAAATCGAAACTTTGTACAGACATCTTCATGGCTGTGACAGCAAATGTAAGAAAACACCATAAAATTGACCACAGCAGCAGCATACTAACTCAGGAAACCTTTGCACAATTGCTTTTTCCACAGCAATTAGCAGTGGTAAATCAACCTTCCCAAAACTGACACACAAGTTGAGTAACATCTGTCCTAAAAAAGTGGTTACTTTCCTCATTTAGGAGAAAACAGACAGCAACAATGTCTTAAAATCTCACAGACTATGTATTGCTGTTGCACAGAACACTCCTCATCAGGCAGGGGTTTGAATAAAAAGCAAAGTATTTTGATTTAGGACTTTTTAGAGTTTTTCCTAATACTTCCATATTAGCCTGGCAATTCCTTTCTCATTTGACTAGCTCCAGTTTGAGCGAGTAAATCCACTGAAAGTAACAAGACTCCACACAAGCCATTTTTCACATAATTATGATTCATGACCTACATCATCATTTCTATTATAAGCAAGCATTCATAGGCCCAAATCCTCAGCTGGTATCGATCAGCACAGCCCCACCACCTTAGGTGCATTGATTTATACAGCAATCAGAGCAGAGTTATTCCCAGAACTAACTCAAACTCATTTACAAACTCATCCAATTTTAACATGTATATGTGCTCATTATTTCACATGTTCTTAATGATGTCTCATTCAGCTGAGAATGATGTGGTGAGTTCTTAACTTACATGCTTCATTTGTAGCCAAAACACTTTATTCCTTACAGCAAAACAGGTGTTACACAATAATTAAAAAATACTCATTTATACATGACAGGTTCAGAGGGAGGCACTCAAGCAAAAGCTCACATTTTCCAAGTAATGCTCTTCAAATCTCCAGTTTCTGCCTTCACCTACACCTGAGGAAGCACCTCGGCCTCTCTCTTCCATATGTTATTAGATCTTGTGTACAGGGGTTCCAGACCTCAGATGTTGTAACTTGTCATGACCCAATTCACGTTAAACATCCAAAGCTGTTTCACTGTTGCAGGTGCTCCTGAAATGTGGCAACCCTTAGCATCAAGTGCTTAATCAAAGGTTGCAAACTGTACCTGTGCAACTTTAGAAGGTAGCAGGATTGATGCAAAGCCTTTTGAATTTACTAAGTGTCTTCTTCAACTGCTCACATAATGCAGGGATCAAAACCCCTTTAAAATGAGACCCACTAAAAACAGGGTATCTCCAAAGTGGTTACTTCATAGAGCAGATTCTCTTGTCTGACAATTTAATTTGGAGACTTTGTCCCTGTAGACTGAGGTTCTGTAGCATTTCCAAAGAAGAGCAATGAAGCTGGTGAAGGGCCTAGAAAACAAGTCTTGTGAGGAGCAGCTGAGGGACCTGGGGTGGTTTAGCCTGAAAAAAAGGAGGCTCTGGGAAGACCTTATCACCCTCTACAACTACCTGAAAGGAGTCTGTAGAGAGGTGGGGGTCAGTCTCTTCTCCCAAGTTACAAGTGATAGGAAAAGACAAAATGGCCTCGGGTTGCATCAGGAGAGGTTTAGGATGGATATTGGGAAAAAATTCTTCACTGAAAGGTTTGTCAAGCATTGGAATAGGCTTCTCAGGCAGGTGATGGAGTCACATCCCTGGAGGTATTTAAAAGACTTGGTATAGTGGTTGACTTGGTAATGTTATATTAATGGTTGGACTTGACGACCTTAAAGGTCTTTTCCAACCAAACTGATTCTATGATTCTACATTGCCAAATGTGCCAAATTCTACAGAATATGTGCAAATCCATAAAGAGTATTGGTCCTCCCCCAGCCTGATCAACGGCTGACAACACCGAAAGTACTGAAAATCTTAGAAGGCTACACAACTTTTCAGAATTTCTGCATGATCAACAATGTTAGAAAAGTCAAAGCATGTCTGAGAAATAACTTAATTCACATCAGGTGCTGACTTTTTCCCTCAATCATACCTTCAATGTATTTATTTGTAAAGTATATGTTGGCATTCAGACTTTGATGCTATCAGCTTCCTTTTGTTTAAGTGTATTAGTTTATTTTAAGACTGTCAAAACCAGTTAATTATACTTCACAATCAAACAAGAAGTGACATAATAAAACAAATTACCCGATCTGCTAATCCCCCAGGAACAATTGTTCTTACAACTACGCCACTCGACTTCCCTCCTACAATTCCAAAGCCTAATCCCGAGCCGTCGTTAATCAGCTCAACATCTTCAACGTGGCCCCAGTGAAGCTGCAATTAATAAAAACAGGAGATTTTAATTTCAGTCAGTCTTTAATGTTTCTCACTTTCATATATGTACACCCGGAATGATGAGGATTAATTAGAGCCATTTTCTCTCTCTGCCCCACGTACTGGAGATCTGTTGGATTTTGTTCAGTCAGCTTCACTTCCTTATAAATACTCAGTGGGATTTCTCATCTGTTTTTAAACACACGTTTTGTTCTTCACTTTCAGGATAACAGGATACTAAGAAAAACCTTGACTAAGAAAAAGCAATTTTAAGATTTTTCTGGCCAAAATGAAAACTATCCTTTCAGTTTTTCTTAAATCAAGGATACGGCAAACAGAGAAAAACAGAGGCAGGGAGCTTGCACTGGCCTAGCTTTCACTAAGTGTTGCCCAAATCCTCATTTCTGTTATTTCACTTACTCTAAACAATGCCAGTACACACTGAATTAATAGCACAGTGCAATCTTCTGCCATACTGAATTGGAAGCATGTCTCTAAATTACACTGTACCGTGACCTTATGTTCTACAGGACAATCTGAAAATAACAAAGCTGTTAAGCAACCCAAACTCAGCCAATGTTTCTGTCAGATTAATATCTCATCGAAACCAAAATGGAGCAAAGGAGGCAGATTTAAGTCTTCTGTGAATAAAGGATTTATTAGCATACTGAAAATCTTTGCCAAAGCCAGTTAAATATCATAAAAGAAGTTTAAAGACCCCCTATAGAGATATATATTTGTATTTTATTTTGTTAGTCTGTTCAGTGCAGATCTTTCAATGAAAAAGCAGTTAAAGTTTAATTCTTTAAAATTTTCAGTGCAATAAACAATATTGATTATCCACTAAAACCTTCAGATTTCACTAGCTCTGTAATAATCATGAGGGAAATAATTACTGAGAATAAGGAACAGCACTGCTCTTAACCAGATTTTCATCAAAACCTGCTAGCATAATAAATTAAGATTCCAATATTGCAAACCCTGGATTTAGGTGTGCAGCCTGACCAAATTCAGTGAAGCCACCTGGACCATATGGTTTGAACACAGATGGAAGTTCAGCCCCAGCTTATTACATGTCCCAGTGACAATCTCTCCTTGTTCAAGAGAACAAAAGGCTTCACAATCAATGAAATTTGCAGACTAAAAAAATCCCCTGATAAATAAACGGGGACCAGAGGTTCTTTAACAGATACTTTCTGTTTGTTTTTAATGCAAAAGCAAGGCTTTTTGTTTTGAGCAGTTTAAGTTTAAAGTGGGTGGGATATTTCAAGCAGTGCTCATGATAGGTTAAGTTTACACTCTTTTAAGATGTAATCAGAGCATCTTTAATTGCTGAGCGCAAGGAGGTTTCAGCTGGGTAGACTCATAAAGTGCTTTACCCAGCCTGTGCTGAACAGAGCCTGCTGCTAAGAATATGGTGGTCTACTAAAGCTTCTACTATCCCATAAAAACCCAGGATCTATTGCATAACAACCTCATGCAGCTTTGCAATGGAAGCCTTATACTTATTTCATGATCAGTCTAGATGAAATGTCACCACAAAGAAAATTTGACTAAAGAAAAAAAACAAACCAACCCTATATGTAAACCTTGGTAACACACTTAGAACCACACACAAAAAAAATACCCAGCATAGTTCAAAATCTGATTTTGACAGTCTTACAACAACTCACAGTCTCAGGTGGATTTATATCACTTAATGAGACAGCTGAAGTTCTGCTGTTTCCTTGAACTGGCTCCCTAGCAACAACCAGATGTAGAGATCCTGTGGCTTGCTGGAGGAGGGCAATGGCGTGCTGATGGGAAATGCTCCGATCCAATGGGGTGCAATTAATGGCCAGTATGTGGTCATTTTCCTTCAGTCTTTGATCCCTTAACAAAACAGTAAAAGAAATTTCAAAATGCAGCGTAGTGGCCACACAACGGGCTTGTGTCATTTAAATATGAACATGCAAAATACAGCTACACAAGGGTAAATCTTTATTTATTTTTAAGTTTTGCTTGTTTGACTGTCTTCACCAACACACAAACTACAGGCAACCCACACTGCCCTGAATGGCCTAGCCACAGCTCATTCCAACTTTATCATGGAACAGAAATTTGTTCCATTTTTTTCCTTTGCTTCTATTCAAAATTCAGTGAAATTCCCTCACCCTTTCCTGGGGATATTGAATTACAGGGCAGAAAAAAATTTACGTAGCTATGCAATGAACTAGGAACTATCCATCATTATGTTCAGCACTACACGATACTACCTCTAAGTACTCACAGCTCAGGCTATGATATTGTTTTGTATCATTATTTAATCTAAGGATCAATGAGCTGCCTGTTTATATTTTACTCAAAATTTGCAGGATCAAACTTCAGACATCAAACTTTCTTCGAGCAATACACAGTTCAACTTGTACCATAAGAGAATATAAATTTCACAGTTAATTCACCCTGCTGATGAATTTAGATTTGTGACAAGAGAGAAACCATCAGTCATCTCCTTTGTTGAATATTCATTCTGAGCACGAGACCAAACTGTTACATAGACAGACAACTGCCTTCAAAGCTCTGTAGGAATCCAAAAAAAAAGCCTCTAGGAGATCTTGTCTCAGAAGCAAAATGGGAAGCATGCTGGGGAAATTTATAAACTCTGAAACAATATAACTGCACACCTTAACTAACCCATTTTAAACTTCCTTTTCTATCATGCAACGTTTAAGATGTTTCCCAGAAATCACTTTCTTCAGGCACTAAGCATATTTTAGATTCTCTCATCAAAGAAAGTGAGCAGCAGGTCATCAAATCCTAAAGTGAGATATTCAGCCTCCTTTGACATCCGGATCAGTCCATCTGTCTCCACTTTGAAAGAGCCTAATATGCTTTTCTTTAAGTGTTCTCTGGTGTGTTCTCTGTGGGCCCATAGCCATTATCATTCCAACCTCTCCCCACTCTTTTTGTCATCCTGTGTTGGCACTTCCTGACATGTGTTATTTAAAAACTGACACCAATGACTTGAAATCTAGACACATTTTCTTGAAACATAATTCCAAGCACTGCATTTGTCTCACGCCAACTCTTGTGGTTTTACAATCACATTTTATTTTTAAAGGATTGCTCTGTCTTTTGTTGTTGGGTGAAAACCCACAGACAATAAGGGAAGAAACTGCCTGAAGCCTTGATTCTATGATGACATCTGTGCAGGGATCTGTCGGGAGGACTGGATCTAAATTTACACAGGAAACAAACAGTAAAACCAACTATAAATACAGCATTGTCATAGACACATAAATAAAGAAGCAAGGGAAAAAAAAGTCTCTTTCAGGGACACAATGCATAAAAATCCAAACGGAGGCTAATTTTCATTTTCCTTGTATTCTTTCCTGAGTTTTCTTTTGTTTTTTAATCAGTACTGAAGATTCTCTCAAGTGAGTCATGATTTCTGGAAATTCCATTTATGAATGGCTCGGATATTTAAAACTCATTTGAAAATCTGATCCTCAGAACACAAGTCCACGCAGTTGAAAAGCCAGAACTCAAGATACCACTAACAAAATATCCCCCTAGATAAGCCAGACAAACATGTTAGTCTGATAGAGTTTTCAGTGTGAATGTCCTGACTTTTCCCTTCACGGAAACACTGTGATTTTCCAATACAACTATAAAGATCTCACCTGTCAGCTATGCTTCCTGGCTGGACTTCCTTGACAAAGATACCAACTTCTCCCAAGCTGTGATTTTTAAGGGCAACCACACTAAATCCAAGACCTCCAACAGAAGGCTTTTCAATCTTTATTGATTCTATTTGTCTCCCCTAATAAAAGAGAAAAAAAGATAAAATATGATTTACTAATTTTTCATGCAATAGACTGAGCTAGTTTAAAATTTATGAACGCTGGGAGAATTATTCTCCTCCTAAGACTAAACAAAGGCAAAATACTGAATATGTTATTTCTATAAAAGCTCCTCCATTTATTATTTTTAATATAGCAGAGTATTGGATATGCAAGCACTCTGAGGTTCTGAAACCTCAGGGAATTTAAGAGCTGCTTTCACACTTCATTCACATTATGAGATGAATTCCAAACTGGATGAAAACTATGAACGAAGTGCTGTCTAGAGCAATATATTTGGGATTTCTGGAAATGCTGCATAGCTAAACTAAATTACTTGTCTTTTGGCTCCCCTTGCTTTTAATGCTGATTTTTAGGGGCGCGTTCAAAAGATTGCAGCTTTTAAATAAAGAAATTAATTTCCTTCCCCTCCCTGCGACTTCACACTTAAGGCTAAAAAAATTTTGCTTTTGTGACTGCCTGCTTTTCAGTTCTCATACAAGGTTTCTGGGCTTGTTTATTGGGAAATATTAGTTAGAGAATGCACTGCTATCACAGCTGTTTCATCCCAAATAATGTGCAGCCTTTGCTGCTAAATCTTTTATCTGATGAGTTAATGACACACTAATGAGAAGAGTTATGCTCAAAATATTACAGCTACATTAAGGTAGTCAATTAGCAACAGTTACTTAATATAGAAAGGCATGACTAACCAATTAAATTAGTGGTTCAAAGTAACACAGAACAATACATTTGTGGTATAAATGCCAATCCCACATGGGTGGATGTCTGCACCTGTACAACTTCTATAAGCATCTGGTACATGCTACATCACATGTTAATGAAATCAGCATCTGTCTGGCAAAGTTAAGACATACTAAGTGAAGAGTTAAATAAAATATTGCATGCCAGTTCTTTTAAACATTTGCATTGTTCACCTATTAACAAAGTTGGTACATGACCAATTTAAAATGCACTTGACAAAACCAGTCCCCCCATCAAAACAAGTTTCTGCAGGAAACGTCCATTTACAATTAAGTGTCATCAAATACCAAAAACGTTCTCTGGCAACTGAGATTTCTTTTCTATGTTGGTGCATTTGGTAGAAAATAAGACAAAAAATAAATGGCAAAGAAAGGAAAAATGAATGCCAAAGCAGTTTCCATTGCTGACATTATCTTTAACAGGGAAAAGTTACCCTCAGCACTTCTACTTTCTTACTGGCTAGGAGGCTCCATGCTCCCAGATCCACAACAAAAGAGTGTGTTTAGAAACATACTCCAAAAGCTTGAAAAAAGAAAAAAAGTTGACATTAAGGCAAAATAAGCTTGGTTGACTAAACCTGAGAGCCTTACCTTTGCCATCTGTTGGATGATTGTATTAAATTCATTCACTCCCAGGTTTGGAGGGAAGGTAGATGTTTTGAGTTCAGGTGAACTGCAAGGTGTATACACGCTCCCAGCAGCAACTGATTTGTCAGCAAACACTAGTAGCCCTCTCTTGGTAAAGTCAAAATCTACTGAACGGTCAGGAGGCATATAACTGAGCTGTGAAAATGAACAAAAATGTAGAAGAACTATTAAAAACAAAAGAAGAGATTTCCATATATATCATTTTGTGTGAAGACTGGCAAAGCAACAAGTATACATATGTTCCTAGATGCCTATTCACACAAATATACTCACCTCTAAAAATTAGCCAATGTTAATACATAAGCTCTAACCAACATTTAAACTGTTTTTCAGAAGGATAGTTCCCTGAACATTTCAATTGTGTTTCTACTTCACTCATTTTCTCCATTTCTTTCATGCTTCTTCCCTGTCCATGCCTATTATCCTCCTTTCACCCTGATACTCCCGAAACAGCACATGCAAAAGCACCAAGCATTAAAGCAGCACTCAAGCACTGCTGCAACTGTCAGGCAAACCTAGACAATTTTGGCAGAAGAATCCAAATTTTTAAGAGTCATCACTCAGGAGCCAAAGGCCTGGTCTGTATTATCTCCTCCCCAGAGAGAGCCTTGGGTACAATCCACCTACCATTGAACATGCTATGACTGCTGGGACTTAGAGTTCAATTTCTAGTCCTGACAGGTAATGAGGAAATGCAGAAATACTTCTAATGTGACATAGTAAACTGAAAAAGAACCCCAAACATTCTGAATCAAATTGCTTAAGCTTAAAAAGAATTTTAAGAAAACCTAAATTTTCTAAAGATGGTAACTCTGAACATTCAGGCTATAAAATCCACTATGCCACAGTCACAAAGTATGATCTTAGATACACTTTCATCTTCACACATCTTTAGTAGCTTGCAGACATGCATCCAAGCTTTGGAAGGCAGGGACGGGAACAGCACCTACGTGAACATGGGGAGAAGGGAGAATGAAGGGCACAACCTCCATGGTGCCACCCAGGCAGGAACATGTGCAAAACATTTGGCAATGACAGCAAGGTGGCCTCGTCCCACCCCACTGTACCTGCAGCCAGGCAGGTGCAGTAACACCTGAGATTGGGGAGGTTATGCCAAGTTAGTCCCTCATTTTAAGTTTGCATGCCTGACTCTGCTAACTGTTCATGTACATGTGCCATTGGTGCCCATGTCTGCAAAATCTAAGTATCAGTTAGCATTATAAACCCATCCACACAAGATCCTCCCTCTGCTGAAGCCAAGGCTTGGGTGCATCTGCATCAGAGCTTAGGCAATCCTCAGGAGTGGTTTTCTAGATTTTATTTCCCAAAGCAAGTTGTTCAGCAGGAACTAAGTGATGATGTCTTTAAGGAGGAAAAGATGCTGCCAGTTAGCTGATAAACAGTATTTAGCTCCTGTGAAAAACAAAGGATCCCAGTTCCAGCTATGTTCAGAACTCAAAGTACTAGATCTGATGTCTTTTGCAGACTCTTTTTTTCCAACTGATATGGTTCTCCACGCCTGTCCCTCGTGCCTCCCTTTCAAAGCACATTACCCAATGACCTGTTTGTTGCAATATCACTTCTCATTTCAGTAGTGATTCTGCAGATACCAGCCTGACTAAAAATAAAAAAAATAAATAAAGCCAAACATTCACTCACACCAAGTTGCAGCTCATTGATGAGAGTGCTCTCATTAACACAGGCCCACACACCCTGGTTTAAATTCCAGGTTCACCATACTTATCATCACACCAAGGAGCACAATTTTACACTCACTTGTTCCTTCAGTTGCTTGATGGATTGCTGGAGGGTCAGTATCTGGTTGAACAAAGGACTCCTGAGGGTGCTCCGCAGAGCAGCCAGGTTTTCATGGTGCTGGGAGTCCCTTCCCTCCCTCAGCTTCGCTTGCAGCCGATCCAGGATCTGCAGCACCTGCTGTTTATCTGCACCACAAAGTAGGACATGGTAGGAATGGGGCTTCACTTCTCACTGCTCCCCACAAGTCATTGCTTTCAGACTACGTACCTGCAGCAGGGTTTTCAGGCATGCTGAAGGGTATTTTGTGAATTACTCAGAATAACCTAGATGAAGTTCAAAAACACAAAATTCTGATTAATCAATAATATATATGAGCAGAACATGAACAGATGCACAGTCAATAAATGCAATAATAAATCACTAAGCTAAGCATAACAAATTTAATTAAAAAATACTACTATTTATTGGTTTTACCCCAAGTACTCAACAATATAGCTGGCACTTCAGCCACTTCAGTCTCAGCACATCCAAAAATCTTTCCTGGTCCTGTGCACTCTCCCTTTCACACACAGGAAGGAATATGAACAACCCTTTCAAATAGTCAAAACGTAGCTTATAAAAACAACCATTGGCCAAGAAAACTGAGACACACCTACCTTCAGCCAAATTATTTTGAATATGGACATTAAAGTTCTGATCTTTGCAAATATACATACAGTTTAAATGTTCCTACTACTTAGATATACTTTCCACCTGATAAATTATTTGGAGATGTATTCTTATCATGACAGCTCAGCCCTGCTGCATGGCAGCAGAGGGGAAACCTTGCTTCTCCCTACAAAACAAGGCAGGTTGCTCCACCCACAAGAAGCAGTACGACCTAAAATTGGCCCAACCAACCACCACTGTAACACGTTCCTAAGGGAGGCCAGTTTTAATTGCAGCCCTGGTGCTGAGCAGGTGAAAGGAGTCTGTTCTCCTCCCCTGCATGAGCTTGCCTTTCTCTTCTCCATGGACAAGACAAGCCTCATGATGTCCAATAAGGCCAAGTGCAAGGTCCAACAGTGTGTGCTTGCAGACCAGAAGGCAAATCACATCCTGGGCTGCATCAAAAGCAGCGTGGTCAGCAGATGGATGGGGGTGATCCTGTCCCTCTGCTCTGCCTTGGTGAGGCCTCACCTGGAGTACAGGGTCCAGCTCTGGAGCCCCCAGCACAAGCAGGATATGGGCCTGTTGGAGCAGGGCCAGAGGAGGCCACAGAGATGGTCCAAGGGCTGGAACCTCTCTGCCGGGAGGCCAAGCTGAGAGGGTTGGGCTTGTAGGGCCTGGAGAAGGCTCCAGGCAGACCTTATAGTGGCCTTTCCAGTACCTGAAGAGGCCTACAGGAAAGCTGGGGAAGGTCTGTTCACAAGGGTGTGTAGTGACAGGACGAGGGGGAACAGTTTTAAACTAGAGCAAGGTAGATTTAAATTAGATATTAGGAAGAAGCTCTTTACTATGAGGGTGGTGAAACACTGGCCTGGGTTGCCCAGACATGTGGTAGATGCCCCATCCCTGGAGACATTCAAGGTCAGGTTGGTTGGGGCTCTGAGCTACCTGCTCTAGTTGCAGATGTCCCTGCTTCCTGCTGGGGGCGGGGGGGGGGGGGCCTAGATAAGGTCCCTTCCAACCCAAACCATTCTCTGATTCTTTTAAGGAGCAGAATATCCTTTATGACACCTCTCTACAGTCCCAAACAGAACAGGTCCCCAGCTGGAGCTGAGGCTGAGGTTGCAGTATGAAAACAACAGACTTGCAATTAGCAGCAGTGATAAATTTGTACCCCCACTCACATGTGATTAAGCTGATGTGGGGCTGTCATTCTGAAACCTATCAAGGCAGTTACACCAAAACACACAAGAAACAAGATGCCTTCACTTGGTATATGCTCCTCAGAAGTCAGGCATTTAACAGCACAAGTTGCATAATTTTAGCTCTACCCAGTATCTGTGTAATTTCAGAGTAATATATTTGGAATTATTTTTGAGCAAATATAGCCATATATATATAGATAGATATAAAAAAGCTCTGTGTTTACATTTTAAATCCTGCAATTCAAGAGTAGAAAGGGTCGTATGCATCTGAATGTAATACCAGGATAAGCACAGGGCCTCTGATCCTTTCAGCTCTGCCTCTGACACTGTCCATGCTCACACTGAAAATATTCTGAGTACTGGGAGGACATTCTGTATTTAACAAAATACAAATTATGCAGGTGAATAGCTTTCCTTCTCCTGAAGAGTCAGATTAAGCTGATTAACCCAATTTTAAACAAAACAAAAAAAAAAAAAAAACAAACCCAAAACAACAGGGGATGTGTGTCACAAACCACAACTTCAGATTTATGCACCCTTTACTGTATCTGAGCAGCTTTGGCTCCTGAAGGAATTCCTGAAGAACTTGGTGGGTTTGTGTGGTTTCCACCCAGGGCCAAGCAAAATGAGTTGCTTTGCGAGACTATTAACAGATTTAGGAGGTCATTTTAAATCACACCCATAGCAAGAGTTGAAGCAGCAAAACCATACAACCCCTGAAAGATTTTCAGGAATGCATCTAAATGTCTCTAAGTGCTGCAGCTTTATTTTCTTTTCCATTGGAAATAAAGCACTTCTAAGAGCACAGCAACCTTTGATTCTGGGCTGAGATCTGATTCCGAAGAAAATACCATCTCCTTATACACTCCTGAGTCTTCAAAAGACAGAAGTTAACCTCCTTGACTAAAAATACTGCATAAATCTTAACAAAACAGGACAAAGAATATGGAAAATTGTTCTTTCTTCCTAGTTTAACTTCCCTCTTTTCATGTCCCTCCTCTGTTTTTCTACCTCACCTCAGCAGTTAAAAGAAAAAAAAAAAAACCTTAAAGTGAACCATCAGAAAGGGATGCAAAATAACTCCCCTGAGGAAAAGTGGCTTGAAACACCTTTAAACCAGCAGTAGAGTGAAGAAAAGATTAAACCCAGAAAAGAAATCCAGTATGGCAGGAAACAGTGATGACCCAACAGCACCATGCCCATTTAACAGCTGAAGCCACGAGGCTGGTCCAGCTCTCCAGCTCTCTTCCAGGCATTTTGTTCTGCCCCTTCCATCTGCGCCTGCACTCGTTCATCCGATCCCAGGGAGAGCTGGAACAGGGAGCTACACACAGAAAAAGCCTTCACGTTTTGGTCAGGTGAGCTTTCTGCCCAGCTGGCTCTCAAGTGCCAGCACTGGCACGCAGGAGGGGGCTGAGAAGGGGCAGGGACGTGGGACCGCACCTCGAGCAGCAGCAGCTATGGCTGTGGCAGCTCAGCTGCACTGGCAAACTGCACCACGAGAAACACCCCATGTCATTCACAACCTGCCTCAAAGGGCCACGCTGCCCACCTGCAAGGCTGGTCTTTTTCCCAATACAGAGGGGGCAACAATAGTGATGATTATGATGGGCACAGATGCAAGAAAGAAAAACTTCAGTAGAAAACTGTAGGTAAAAGATCAACGCTCCATCTAGGCAGAAGTTCCCTGAAGAAGGAGGCACAAAAGGGGAAGAAAAAACAAGATGAAAGAAAGTTTCAGCTTCTTGCTTGAGCTGCTCCAAAGCGTTGCTGAGTGTCACTGCAGAACACTCTGTGCTGGTGGACAACAACGTGGACCTCAGGTACAGTTCATGTAGCAGTTCAAGTTTACACAGCACTTTGGTATTCCTCGTGATCAAAGCTGGCCCCCAGCCAGCCTGGAGTGGTTTTTAATGTTGTTGGGGTGGTTTTTCTCTGCAATATGTTAAAACCACCCTCAGAATGTCTTTGTTCTCCTTTCTTTCATAAAAAGACAGTGGGGGGGGCGAAAAAGTGTTCTATCTTAAAGTAAACAGTTCCTTCTGCTGTGAGGGGATCCCTGGAAATATAAATGAATTTAAAGTTCACAAGTAACATATAACCAAGGACAAGTCTCTAAGACTGTTTTTTGGGCACCAGAGAAACACATATACTCCACATACTATTGAGCTATTTATGCTTAGGGGCCCAAACAGCTCATCAATAAACAATTTCCAAACACCAAGTCCCAGGAGAGTGGCAACAGGCAGTTGCTAAATTAGGAGATTTACTCCTAGACGATGACTTTGAAGGCTTATCCAAACGACTTTGGTTTGTCTTGTTAAAATCAGTTCACCCACTTCACAATTCAACTACTTATCTCCAATCTCTGACTTCTACAGCCATTTATTTACCTGATTGGTAGACAAAACTGCAAACTTGAGTTCAAAATTGATGTCACAACTCCCAGGTTAACTGTAAAATCATTGAGAAAAAGAATAAATTTCAGAAAGTTTGGTGTTTTCTAACACCAGAAAAAGAAAAGGCACACTCCAGCACAGCGTGCATCAGGGGTTTGACTGTCTTCACTTCTGAGAACTCAACGCATCATAGGGAGCGGGAAAGTTTCGTAAGGTTTTGTATGAAATCCTAAAACTTGGATCTTCTTCAAAAGCAGACTAAGAAAAAAGAAGGAATTCCCCCATGCTGGTGCCAGCAGAGGTCATCAGAAGAGCTGAAAGGTTTAAGTCTTGCACTGCTGTCACCCCCCCAGCAGACGCCTGCCACTTGCACGGAGACACGGGGTGCTCAACCCTGGCACACCCCAGAGCCAGAGGGGAACAGACACCCCTGGCAGTGGCCTTTGACAAACACCTGCCCTCCACAAAAGGCTGCTGAAAGACAGAAACAAGGTTTTCCCGCTGGGGTCTGGAGGATGACACAGTTTAGCCAGCAGATTCTTCTGCCCATGTCCCCCCACCCACCTAACAACTACAATAGCTTCCACCCTACATCCTTCAGCTTGGCCTCCAGCAGCCTGTGTCCCTCCAGGAGATGTGCCTGAAGGGAAGGTCCTGCCTCAGGGGAGGCTCTCCCCACTCAGCATGGATGCAGCCACTTGGGACATTAAACACCAATGCACAAGTGCTAACTGTGGCTATTTTCTGAAGGTTTCTAGCAGGGCCAGTCTGAGCAGCCTGCCTCAGGAACAGCCAAGGCTACATCCCAATCCAAAGTCACCTTTCTGCACTAATGAGGTGGTAATTTTTCCTGACCCTGTTATCAGGAGTGACTGATCTGGTGCCTATTGTCTTCCTCATCAGAGAGATCTCTGACTTGGAAAATTTCAGCCCAAACAGTTTAAAATTTGATAAAGGCAAAAGAAAGGGAAAACAGCATTTGTTAAAGTGATCTTAATCCAAAATTGTTCTAACACAGCAACGTCTGCAACTTCAGA